TACATATATATGTATATATATGTGTGTATATGGGTATGGTTGTCAGCAAGGCTATAATCTTTATAATTATATAGATATGCACTTTTGTTGCTGTGGTTTTGTTACCTTTGTTTTTGTAGGTGCGGAGCCAAGATGTCGGGTGTGCTGTCTTGTGTTTTCTTGACATATATTTCGCAGATCTTATAATCTCTCTTTCACTCTACATTCCACTTTTTTTCTTTCTCTTCCTTTCTCCTTTATTAATAAAAAATAAATAAATAAATTGCCGACCTTAGACTACTTACTGTCCATTCTAAATGTAAGTCTGCTTCTCAGACACTAAAAAGCCAAAACGGAGTTAAGCTCCACTTGGTAATTACTATAATTAATATTTCATAATAATGGTGTMGAGAGGYTGGCTATAAYGGGAGAAGGGAAGCCATCAAAGAGAAAAGAAAAATAAATAAATAAATAAAATAAATAAATAAATAAAATTTTATATCTTTATGTTTGAAGCTTGAAATGTGGCACAGGGTTGAAAAGTTCAGGGGGGGGGCGAATACTTTTGCAAGGCACTGTATATACTATATGTTGCCCTTTCCTGTTTGTTTTAGCACTTTCAGGTGAACATTGCAAATAAGATTTTTTTAATTTGTTTTTTACCTGGTGAAACAACTGTTACTGCTATTTCAAATTTCACAATCATAAATTTTTCAACAGAAAATTTTTTATTTTATTTTGTGATGCAGCTTTTTATTTTTATTGTGTGTACAATACTGTTAAATATTCTAAACATCAAACAAACCAACACACAAMGATTTAAAGACACCAGCAAGCAAATGAATTAGGAATAAAAAATGGGAGACTTAACGGAAAATTTGTTGCAACTGAATGCTAAGACTATTCACAGGTTTTAAAAATATACTTGCATTAATACCAAAGTTTGAAAATGTTTAATCCATTTTTAAATTGTTGATAAATTTGGTTCTTTGAAACAAATAAGGTCTGTTGATTTTTACTATAAAATCAGTAAAATAAAATAAAAACATGTATATATACACTGATTATTTAGAATTTTCTTCAATATCAGAAGAAAATCTGTTAAAAAGTGGAGTTTGTCCATCAGTATTTGCAGACTATATATGTTATGCTAGTTGCACTTTTCAAATTTATTGTGGAGAGGGATTTATCTTGAGGTATTTCACATTTTATTGCATTTGAGATGATGTCGTTTCACTTTGGAACCTACAACTTTCTGGTTGGTTCTGAATTCAGTAACAATACACCTCATTGGTCGATACACTCTTCTAAAGGCTAAGTAGCTAGCTAACAA